CCTTCGGCACCTCCCGGGATGGATAACCCTCCTGCTCGGGCACCGGCACCGGCCCGCGGCTCCTTCGGCACCTCCCGGGATGGATAACCCTCCTGCTCGGGCACCGGGACTGTCCCGAGACAATAAATAGATTCTCAGTGCCGCTCTTTACGTGTTTCTGGATTTGGCAGGAGCCTTAAAGAAAAGGCAGTTGGGCAAAAGAGGTTGTTCCTCATTGTACCAAACACTGTCTGAGTTCCCAAGCACAGGAGAGGAGGCCAGGGGGTCTCTGGGTGCTTCTCCTGCACACCAGAATGGATGTGACCACCTTTTCAAGCAAGGCTAGGGACCTCCTGGATTCTGACCCTGTTCCTGCTTTTTTTTTTTACCCCCCTCAATTAAAATGAGCCTCCAGCAACAATAAAAACTCCATAAAAACTGACAGTAACTCATTCTTTATCCCTCAAACCAAAATGGTTACCTTCATTTCCTTCACAGGAAGGGAAAATCTGTGCTGAGGTTTTCTATTATCAGAACATCACCACTTAAGCACAACTAATTAGTACAGCAGATCTGTTAATAAGCTATCAAACCTCAAACAAACCAAATGAAGAGGGGTACCAGAATATGACTGTATCCTAACTGAACCCTGTTATTTTGTGGGGCCTGTAAGAGACCCCCACCTCCTCCAAACACGTCGTGCCAAGTGCTTTGAGTGCCCTGCACCATTCCGGCTCGGTGGGACACGGGACAAGGCCACACACAACGGTGCAGATGGCAATTCCTGGAGACTGACCCTGTGACAGTCAGTGGGACTCTGCACACGCCCATTCATCTCCCTGCACGCTACACTGCAGCAACACAACCATTTCAACTTTTTTATTTTGCTTTACTACCTTCCACCAGTACCACAGTATTTTAAAAAGTAAAGAAACCCTCCAAACCCCAGTAAGCTTTCCATTATAAAAACACCACAAAAATTCCTCTACCGTGAGCACAAGCACAGAGCTGCAAATTTGACTTTTGCCTACAGGGTACAAACCTAAGAGTGGCAGGATCTAGACAAGACACCAGCGAGAACCTTAAACACCAAAGTTTAGCGGGGGCTGAATTTTGGCACACTGCTGACAGCCCAGGCTTCGGGATGGTTAAACAAACTATCAGTTTACAGCTGCTTTTCCCCTCTGTAAGCAGGGAAGAGGGGACAGAGATTAGGGTAATCGCCTCTCACTGCCCCAGAAGATGTTGCTAGGCAGGTGGCTGCGCTCAGCATCCACAGAGGAGTCTCTAAGGGCTCCACTCACTGTTACTATGGATGCCACTGAAGCACAGAGGCGAATGCAGAGGGAAGGGGAAAGGCAGAGCTCCTTCTGCAAACAGAAATTAGCCTTACCCGTTATCTACTGATAGACAACACTGAATTTCATATCACCACTGTGTCATTTCAGAGGAAAATCAGCTTCCCAGTTAATTTTCTAGTAATAACACAGCTAAAGAGATTTTTACTTTTTATAACAAAGTACCAAAATCCCAGACAAAATGGTAGCTCTCACCAGGAATATTGCTATGGTCTAAGTGACGTTTCCAGTCATGCAAAAGAATATTTCTATTGACACTATCTAATGGCCATAAAAAAAAAAATAGTTTAAACTTTAAAACAGGACAAATATGACAGTCTGAACCAAGGCTACAGCAGGAAGATGTGAAGTGGCAAAGGTCAGGCCTCTTTCTTAAAATGCTCAGAAGTCAAGCAACAGGAGGAACACGAGCTGCAGGTTTGCTCCCGGCCCATGTGGTAAAATTCAATACAGGCAATAAAACAGCTCTCAGAGACAGGCTTCTGTCCAAATGCAGCCCAAGCTGGCAGCGTCAATCAGCCCATAAACAAACGGCGTGGCTTTACCCAGCAGACACACTCAAGGTGGCATCATCATCCCTGAGCACTGGTCAGTACAGACCACTCACACCACACCCACAGCATGTGATAGTGTCCAAGGAAAATGCTTCTCCCTAAACTCCAGCCCCCACTGCAGGCATCAGAAATGATAATTTAATCACCACTCTGCTACCTAGCCACAAAGCAACACTTACTACATGCAAAAACGCCTCCAGAATAAATCAGAGTTAAATCAAACTACTTCATCATAAAACATTACCCTACTAGCAGTCTTCTCATTGTGAAGAGGACAATAAACCCAAAATTTGATGGATACATGTTCTGTTTCAACCACACTACACTACACACTACAGCATCTCCACAGCAACACCAACAGGAAAACCTCCAGGGCCCTGGGTCAGAAACTCAGCATTTCTCATGTCCTGGCCACAACACTGGCACAGAACATATGTGGCAGGAAAAACCAAGAGTGGCAACAGTCACTGCACAGGTAGACAGAAGCTGCAGGGAAATGCACATGTCTGCCTCCCACACTGCAGGCAGCTGTGCTGAGGGGAAAGAAGAAAAATAATTCAGTTTCACATTTATAATGACATTTATGACTAGGATCCCACAGCAAGACCAAAGCTCTGCTAAAGATACACTGCGTGGGGATATCAAATCTTTGCTCCAAACTGGGGCCAAAAAAGGGTAACACAATGGAAAGAGAATTGTGTTACCCCATGATTTTCTTCAGCTCTTTCAGCAAGGCCAAGGAAGCTGCTGCCCCAAAACACAGTCAAAGCTTAGGCAAGCAGCACTGTCACACTCTATTGGGAACAGCGAGAAGCACGACACCGACTCTCTTGTGAGCTGAACAGGAGAGAGAGAGGTTTATTACCCCAGATCATCTTTTATAGACTGATATGCAAAGGTCTGGAAAGATAAAACCCTTCTGGTCAGTGAACTAACACATCACCATCATTGGTCAGTGGGGTACACCACCCTCGACCTTCTCTTGCAAGAAAACAAGGAACAGACAATCAGCACCTGCAAGGCTGTTTTCTATCTCTGAGGATTGTTTTAATTCCTCCTTATGATTTCCCAGGCCACTTTCTCAGGCGAGTCTGAGAAAGTTATGCAGCCTGCTATTCCACAGACACTGTGCTCCCTGCTTGCCTTTAGCATCCATAGAGAACTTCCACAGGAAAAACTGTACAGAACACAATTACTTTTCATGTCTGAAAGATTACTGGAAGTAGGGATTCTCTGGTCTTATTTACTTCTTTTAGGTAACAGGCTTTCCTATTCAAGCTTTGCTTGACTGTCCAGCATGAGAAAATGAGAAAACTAAAAACATGCTGGAAGAGGCTACAAGAAACCTGGAAACCACATGCACTCCCTAAAATATGCAGTGGTCTAATTCAGCCAGCAGACCACAGAATAAACATCACTGACAGAAAACAGTCTTCCTGCATAGCTAAATAGTGTTCAAAAACCAGTTTCATCTGGTGATGAAATAGAACATAATCAGCACAATCCTAGAACTACCTAGTTTGGTTAGCACAGAAAGTCAGAGTGGTGAAGCTAAGCTCCTGATGCTGCAAGCCAAAGAAGGGAAATGCTGCAGTTTCCCCCAGGCAGATGTGCTAGGTTAGCAGAAGCGAGGAGCTGCATTACCTTGCTTGGCGCACGTACAGCTGGGGGTGACAGCGATGCCTGGGGCACGCCAGCAAGGTGAAACGTCTCTCCATGCGTGAGCCAGGAACAGGCGTCATCCTTTCAAACACATTCCCCATGGCCAGCTCTGAATGACTGAAACCTGTCAGGGGAAACAGAGAATCTTCATTATGCAAGCTTTAAATTAGCAGCAAAACTGTCTGAGGAAAATGGAGTTTCAAACTTAAACCACAAAACGCTCCAAATCTTTTAAGTTAGGCAATGAGGCTGAAATGACAGCAGTATAAACATGTGAGAATCCTCACCAAAGTAATCTAATTAATCTGGCATTCCAAATCTGAATAAGCCTCAAAGCAATCAGAAATTGGTAGAATCCAATCCCTATAAAAATAATACAGATAATTGTCTATGACTCTGAAGAACTTCTGTCAGCACTCACAATGCTCAAGGAAAGCTGATGTTGGTTGCCAGGATGGATTTGACAAAACCCTTCATTCAAGCCCTGTTTTCTGTAGTTGACACATCACTATAGTCTTTCAGTGTGACTTGGAACCAACGTGTCTAGAAGCTGGCTTATCAAAAGAGTTCCAGCTCCTTTCTCAGCTCAGTTAAGTGCATGCTTGGTTTATTAGTCTGAATTCAGGACCAAAATTCCAAGTCTGGCGCTGTTCTCTGATTAATATGTACATTCTCTACCTTTGTACCTCTGTTCTAAAAGAAATAATCCGAGTTTCCTTCCATCCCTCCAGCAGCCCCTTTGAGTCTCACCAAGGAGTCCTCTTCCAATCTGTACTGGCTTGACTATGTAAGAGAAAGTGCCAAATTTCAAATCTCTTGGCTCTATTCAACCAGAAATCTTCACAAATTTGTAGGGATTCATTTTTGAGATCTTTACTGTTTGTTTTTTTTTTTTTTATGTCCTGTTTCTGGCCAATTTAAAGATTGCAGGGAATGGACAGAGTGCTGAATGGCTGCTGGAGTGAGCATAGAACCACAGGTACCTCTGGCACATGGGATCTTCAAAAGAAGATACTTTTAGATTGTTTTCCACATGTCTACAAACTGATAACTGTTCTCAGTATTAAAAAAAGAACACCACAACAACCTCATAGCGCATATTTATTAGGTTTGCAATTGCTCTCACTTCAAGAATAAAACAGTATTCAACTCTTACCTAACCTCTCCTCAGATGGTATAAAGAGAAGTATAAACTGCAGTTCTGGTAGTAAGATGAAAGCTCTCCTGGACAAATAACAAACATACTACAGATGTATATATAATATTCCACATTATAACAAACATTGACCCATCAATGACAGAAGCTAGTTTTTTAATATACACATTTTTTTTCTCCAGTGTCTTTAACCTTCTTTGGTATTCCAGATGGCTCAACAATTAAAACATCTGTGATAAACAGTATCATGTGAAATTCATCTGGGTAAATTTTTTTGTTGCTTTGACTGTTTTTTCCAACCTCGTTTATTTCACATTTCCCAATCTTTACATTTCAAACAGCCTCTTGTTTATAGCAGTTTCCCAGTGGTGAGATATTTAAGATAGCAGGCCTCTGCTGGCAGATCTCTGACATGGCATCTGGATGAGATGCCTTGACAAACGTAACTTGACAGCAGGAGAGGGCACATGCTTCACTAGCCAAGGCTGCAGAGGAACTCACCTAACGATCTCTTGGGAACATCCAGCTGCATATTCTTCCTTTGCCACAAAGAGATGCACAAAGAGAGTGTTCAAAGGCTACAAAACAAGGAGTGAAAGTCCATACACCATGCAGCTCATGTTTATTCCATCAGCCTATGTATTAGTATGCATATGCATTTCCAACATACACGATCTGCACTCAAGGAACAACAAAATACACATAAGTGACTTCAAAGCATGTGTGGGTAAAGTTAAGTGATTAAGTGCTTTATATAATTTTGTATTTCTGCAATATTTTTTTCTTTCTACTCAGTTTACTATTGTTTGCCTGCAATATACACTATACATTTCATATTGAACAGCATTAATTCTCGACTGACAACATTCAACCACATTAAACACTCAACATGTGTCTTTGTCAAAGACATTCTTTTTAGGTTTAAAAAAAGCCTCAAACCAAAAGCTCACATGCTTCTCATAATCCTAAAGTGGTTTTTCTTTAAAGATAGTACGAAAAATTACAAATTTTAAGATGACATCATTAGACACACAAATAGCAGACAGAGAAACAGAGCAGACTAGCAGACAGCTTTATCTTATGCATCTGCAGTGTACATGGAAAAGCCCTGTGCTGGAATGGTAAGGGGCATTAAATCAGTTATTCTCTGGCATATTTATTACAAGTGCTGGGTCACTGAAGGTCTGCTGGTAGATAAAAATACTTTAAATGGAAAACCTGAGATCTTCTGAAATACTTTAAATGGAAAACCTGAGATCTTCTGAATAGTATTTATTGTTTATATTCAATTAAAACGCCATAGCTAGAGGCACCAATAAACTTCAACAATTTATAAACCAGACTTGGACTGTAACTCTTTCTGAATGGTGCTGGTAACCAGACAATCCAGTAAAGCATCCTCACTTATTCCTTTCTGCACAAGTCAACTCCCACTTCAGACCCTGAAATGATTTCTGTGCTCTAGGGAAAAGATAGGTCAACTAGACTTCACAGAAATCTTATGTTCAGATGAACTCAGTTTTGGAAAGCACACCTGCATGGATTTATGTCATTTACCAATGACATCTCAAAGTTATACCCCAGAAAATGTTCAGGGCTTCTGCCAATGCAGAAGCACAGAACACTCAATCTTCTACACCTACTTTGGCAAATAAACTATATTCTAGAAAAATAAGAGCTCTGCTGCCTGTCTGTTTCAAGGTATTTTTCACTACTGGTTCTGAGCAGTAATTTATTTTTCTTGTCTTTTCTCTGGAGGCCCCTGCAGCAGATCCTACCGAGCCACCAGACAGCCCAAAGGAGGTCAGGGCACAGCAGAACCCCCAGAGCAGCTGCACCCTGAATGAAGTGGCTGTGCTTGCCCACAAAGTGCCACTCAAGGGACAAACAAAGTCCATTACAAGGAAATCACAGGTCCTTTTTGTACACTCCCTTTGGCTGTTTCCTCCAAGAGCACACATTTTCAGATGCTGTTTTGGTCAGTTTAGCTCCAAGCCATTGCTTAACATCACAGAAGACCCTGGAGCACTGATGAACACAATACCCAGAGGTAACTGCAGCACTGTTTATATTATATAAACATTATATTATATAATTTATATTATAGCACGTGCTGCTATATAAGTGCCTGGGGTTTAACATTTTCTGTACGTTCTCAACAATCACACAGTTCCCAGGTGGGCTCGGTGATGGGGGAGCATTTGAGTGCTAAACTTGTAAAGGCCTGTTTCAAGTCCGTAGATCCTACCAGAAATTCACAAGCTCACCCAAGGAGCCTGTGTGAAAGTCACCAGCACACAAAGCAAAGAGCAACAGTCTCCCCACCTGCACCAAACAAGCTCACTGCCAAAATCAGATGCCCGTGTCAGCACAAGGGTTTCACGAGGAATCCATCACCTCCTGCATCCCGAATGCCTCAGATCTACCAGGAATAGACTGTAGATGCCCATGTGTACTTTCCATACCTGACCTTAAATGAAAACTCAACTAAAATCACACCATTTACTTACAGTGCACTTATTGTTAGTGTAGTTTTCATGCAGGAATGGTTCCCATTCAGCCTGATCAGTGATATTCCAATTTGGATAGTCCAGAAAGGCAGCATGGGCTAGAACCTCATTCTTCTCATTGCAGAGTGTCAAAGCAAGATTTGATAATCCTCTAGGAAAACAATTTAATTTTGCACAAGTTAAAGAAACTCCACACAGAAAAGTGACTGACTGTGAATTCAGCTTGCTGGAACAGCAAAATTAGTCACATTCAAGAGAGTTCCCAGGATCAGGCCTTAATAAAACTTCATCATCCACATGCTAACTTGGTATTGTTGCTTCCACAATATTTGTGTTCTAACACTATAAAAATTCAGGTGGATTTTCAAATACTCAACCATAGTAGCAAACTTGAGATGCAAGACATTCCCTTCTGTTTATATGTTTCTCGACACATCTCTTTTTTCTCCCCAAAAGAGCTGTTATCTGAGATCTTTGCTACGAAGGGGGAAAAAAACCTAAGTGACCCACCAGTATCTGTCTGTGACACAACCTGTCTGCTGATAGTTTCATCAGGTGCTGTTCAACAGCATTTCTTCTGAGCTTTAGCAAAAGGAAGCTAGTATAGAATTAAACCTTGCCCACCATGACAGGGACCGAGGTTTGCACAGTCATGCATGTGACAGACACAAAAGTGAATTTTCTTTCCTTTTTTTTAGAAAGGGCACAAAAAGTCATTATGTCACACCATGTCAAAGCTCAGAATGTTTTCTGCCATTTAAAGTGTGATGGCCTGAAAGATGACAACCTGAAACATCGTTACTTACAAAAGGTAAGTGACATCAATTCTTCCGAAGAGGTCTTCTGTGACAGGGCTGAAGAGGGTGACAATGTCTGGGACATCGTGTGACTCAGTCCTTCTAGCAGTGACCACCTCTGTATTTCCCCTCCAGGAGGTTACTGTGGCCATCCCACAGGCTGCACTGGAACCAAGGAAAACACTTCTGCTCCAGCCTTCCCCTGCCCAACACGCTCACATCAGGGGGTTCTCACAACTACTCTAAAACGGGGTAGCTCCTATGGATTTTGGTGCCTGATTCCTGCATACACACAGATAACACACTGCCTATACAGTGCACACCTGAAATGCAGCAGGCAATCACTCCTATTGTCTGGAAACAGAGGAAATCAATAGTTTTAATAGGCTACAGCTGCTTTCCTATTCATTCATTTGCACGCTAACCAGCTCATCACCAAGAAATTCAAACTGCAAGGCTTTCAGTGGGAGGCTCAGCTGTGGGCAGTCAGGGGAAGGAGGCTGGAGGCTCAGCTGCAAACAATCAGGGCAACAACGTCCTGATTAAACAGCAGCTTCAGGTGTGTTAACTGTCTTTTGTACAAAAGTGCTCCTCGAATTTCTTTTGAGGTCAACAGCAGGGCTTAAACTTCAGGAGGAATTCAAAGTTCTGTGGCTATTCAAAGTTCTACTGCTTTCCTAGGTAGAAAAAAAAAAAAAAAGAAAAAAAGAAGTGGTTTTTTTGTGGATCCTCAGGGACAGAAGGTGCCAGGCACAACTGACTTGTTGATTTGCCCAGAACACTCGGGCAGCCGATACTCGGACCACCTGTGCATGCCCTGGGCTCTAACACCTTTCAGCTGTGTGCTGCTCAGTCCTGCACACTGCTGCGACCCAGCCAACAGCCAGGCTGGTGAAACAAAGCGACCCAACAACGGCTTCCCGCAATGTCTTAAATAGAAGTACAAAATATAGCAGTACTAACTAAAAAAAAAAAATAAAGTCTAAACCAACAAACCTAGACCAGCAGAGCAATTTCACCGCTCTGCCAAACACAACAGCCGCTTCTAAGTGACTGCAAACCCAAATGCGATGCTCAGTGTCAGGCACCGCATTTCCCAATTCAAATGAAAAACCAAAAGAAACGCAACTTTTCGCATCTTTTAAATAAAGGCACAGATAAATGCACTCTTACATCTTTCACAGGCAAACCAGACATTGCAGCTCCAGCGCAGTTGGAGCCCGGAATTAACCTAAAGCAACACATCCTCTGCGAACACGCGTCAGCTTCAAAAAGGAAAACTAAGGCGAACTTTAAAGGGCCATTCATCAGCTGAGGCTTAGCACTAAGGTGACTTCAACTGAGGAAAACCATCTGCCACCTTTCCACAGTCATTTGTTTTAAAGGTAAAAAAATACACATCCATCTCCACCAGCTCCTCTAAACGCTCTCGCAGCCCGCAGGGAGCTAAAGCAGCATTTACACAGTACAAACATACCGTTTTCGTACGGAAACTCGCTGCTCGTGCAGCAAACTCTTGCATTCACCCCACGGAGCAGCATCCCAGAGACGCCCGCAGCAGAAGCGGAGAGAGGCGTTCCCTCCCGCCTCCTCACACAAACACTCCCGGAGCACAAGCGAGCTTCCACGCGGGGCTTTTTGGTGCTTGTGGCCCAAAAGAAACCAAACGCGAACATACCTCGGGAAAGCTGCGGGGAGCGGCGGGAGGCGGCTGCGGGCGGCGACG